ATGGTTTTGATACACCATCTATAGGAAGAGAAACAAACGCCGGCACATCATAAGAGTGGTTTTCAATGACGACCTTGAAAAAAAATGTCGCGTTACTTCAACAGTCATAGTTAACAGAATTTGATGTGGAAATGCAATGGACAACTCGATTTTCCAAAACTTCACCATGGCTGTTGCCCTCGATCTCGATAACAAATGATTACCAATATGTCACAAAGTTAGAAATAAGTGTAACAAGAAGTACGCCAATTATTCGCAGTTGAAGAAGACAATGTCCACAATTAGGGCTGAGCTGTAGACAGTCAGGGAGTGGGGCTGAGTGACGCAAAGTGTAAGATTTCCAGGAGGTAGCTTACTTGTGGAGATCTAATACTATTCGTATTGCATTCTGACTGCATATCGCAAAGTAAGAAGCAATTTGCTGCAACAATTAGCGTCTGTGACAGTCCCCCAGGCTGTCTACAACCTACTTAACGATAGTGGCAATACCTTATGAAGGTCCTCCAAAAGACTTTCCTGTGTCTTCATGATAAGAATAGCTTCTGCGTCCTCGTGTACTTTGCCTTCCCACTCGTAACTGGATGTGTTTTTGTACAAAACGTTATGATTTGATAGAAAAGTGCAAGAAACTCACATGGATGTAATCTCAGGTATGATATTGGCACAAGCTGCTAATTTACGTTCCACAGCTATTCTACAAACTTCAAACTAATTAAGAATGTAGCAATAAGAGTGAAAAACCTGGCGATTTTGAGAGCAGCTTCTTTCGATGGCGCTGTGACATAGACCATTCGAAGGTTGCCCATCCGAGAAAAGACGGCTGCAGCACCCGAAGCCATTGTATTGTGATTGAAACTGAATATGGTACTTAGTAAGTAAAAATGAGAAGAATTTAAATGAGGTGACTTGTGATATTTGAAAAGAGCTTGAAACATTAGGTTGAATCATTATTATCCCTTTGAAACACCATTTCAAAGGGATAATAATGATTCAACCTAATGAACTCCCTCTGAAGTGACATTTGCCCGTAACTGACTGTTCGCTTGCAACATGGTCGTAGGCGTTACGCACTCATTAAATGGATGAGAGAGTTTGATACACATTTTTCATTAATGGACTTAATTTCCAGCTCTCTATTTTCGAAAATTCCCCTTACTGAGCTCCACACTCCCGTCCACATATTTTCTTTTTAGTACTCTTTACATCAAATCCATATATATTCATTTATTTATTTGTTTATTTGTACATATTTTTATTTGATCTTATTTTCGAACCGAGTTCTTTGTGATAGAAGCATCAAGACCCTTACCTACTATTTAACGGAGAAGTGAACGGTTCAATGATTTCATGCGATGCCCATGTTCCATAAAGTTTACTGATCAAAAGACATGTTGTCAATAGATAAAGCATATCAAAATCTGAAAGACAAACGATTTTTTTAAGCATTGATTTTCTAGTTATAAATTTATGGGCTGAAAAATTAGAGGGTGAAAGATTTGCTCGCGCATTTTGAACCAATTTTTTTGACTTTAAATCTTAATTTTGCTTATAAGCATTAAAAAGTATTTTTATTCGAATAGCTTTTTCCTACACATTAAATATGGACAAACCCCGATATTGTGAGCGGTTGTACCTCTCCCGATTTCTAAACTTCTCAAAGAACATATTTTCAGATTGTTTCGCCCGCCTAAGTAATTAGCCATGCCCTCCTTCAGCAAAAGTCTCATGAATAAAGAGCCCATATAGAGAAAAAATGTTCAAAATTTGAGTAAAGCAAACGAATCAGCAAAGAGTGTGAATGAAAGAAAAATGAAAGATACGGTCTGAGAGCACACAACCTGCGATTTCACGCAAAATTTTTAAACTTTTGCATTTACTCGCCATAGCTGGACTGAGCAGCCTAGTCATTTTTAAAATTGTGAATGAACGCCGGTGTTAGCATTCTCTCTTGTTGATAACAGGAGAAGGTACGTCAATTATTTGGTTAAAGTATTAACTTTTTATTTGTAAATTTATCTGAAGAGTTTTCTTTAGATATCTAGGCATGGAGGAGGCAATGGAAGTAGATGTCGATATAGAAAATCGCCGCGATCTAGCCCCGGACAGGAAACGATTTCATAAGAATGGAGAATTGAATGGTGCAGTAAAAATTAGACGACTCCACTCGAACCATGCTGGTGATTCTGAACCTCGAAGAGGTAACTGTTTTCAGACCTAGTTATGGGTTTGCTTATTTTTAATCCATCTTCATAATTCTATCT